ATTCTATATCTTTAGCAGCACCAATATTTAGTAGAATTTGTAAAAAATTACGATGTTGTTGACAGTTTATGATCAATACTAGTACTTGATTACGATTTAGTGACTGATCTAGGATATAGAAATGATGATAAACACTCATAAAAAAGGAATAAAAACTTATAACTTCTTATAATTTTAAGTTGTTTTGATTTTGGGGCCACTATGCTTCCAAAAGAAGAATAACATCTAAAGATTTTGGTAGTTATTGTAGGGCTTTGGCTTTAGCAAGCTTTCAGTTTACAAAGGTGGCTAACCTCAACCTTTCCTTCCTTAGATCAGGCTCAACACAAGTTTGAGAGTAAAATTACAAATTGAATGGCGGATTGACAGATTAGTGGATTGGCAAATCGCGATTTAGGTGGTTTTAGGCGGATTGGTGGATTAAAGAATATTCTAACCAATTATCAAACATTTGCTGTAACGCCCTCAAAATAAACCCATTATATGTATATCATCAACATGCATTATTTAAAGAAAACAATCTATTAATTCATTCATCAGAGTAGGCGGATCGTAAATTTTAAAATTCAATCTGTGATTATTGGATAGAGCGATGTGGATTGATACAGATTGGTGCGGTTTTAGTGGATTGAGCAATATTTTGCACAACTGTAGTTGTTGTAGATATTATGCATAGACATGCATAGGTTGTAGAGTCCATAGGGATGATGTATGTATGTGTACATATTGGGTTGTTTTGGGAAGTAAGTTAAAAATTAGCTTTCTAACTTTTTTTTTCTTCTTTTTAAATGTGTAAAAATGTAGAGACGTAATGTGACAAAAAAAAAAAAATCAAAAAATTGGCTTTTATCCCAATTACGCGTTTTTTTTTTTTTTGGAATGAATGTTGATACCTACACTATAATGATTCTGGTTTAGACCCGACCCGTTTATTGTTTTGGATCCAGGATTCCTCTTCTTGAATGGTTGTTCATATCTTTATTCATTCTATTCCTTGTTGAGTTTGGTTGTTGGAGTGTTGTAGTTGCGTTTGGAACAGGTAGGGAGTTAGTTTTTTAAAAAAAGTTGTTGCCCAGAATTTGGCTAGTTCGCTCAAGCGAACTTTCTTGTGCTTGAGCGGTTGGCTTCTGTCTGCAAAACTTCTAGGAGGGTGTCATTGTGTGCTCAAGTGGTAACTTTGTTCACTCGAGCGGTCTCACTGATTTTGTTTGTTCGCTCTAGTGGTGTTTTGGTCGTTCGAGCGGTCTGCGCGTATATCAGTCCACAAAAGCCACTTTTTGGATCACTTTTTCATTTCTCTCTCTCTCTCTAAACATTTCAAAAACCTAGATTTACTCTCTTCTCTCTCTCTAAAACTCACCTTCAAACCTCAAATACACCCCCACCCTTGATCTTTACACCTTTGTCCTTTGAAGTAAAGATAGGTTACATTGAGAGCTTCGTTTTAATATGAGAAGTTCTTGTTTTCGTCGACGTTGAGTTTTGGGGCTTTAAGGCTTTTTCCTCTTCTGAAGTTGAGGTAGGGATTTTCTGGACGGTGTGCATGTTGTTTAGCTTCATTATCTATTATTTTTGTTAGTTAAGGGTTTTCGAAAAAGTAGTTTTGGATATATACTTATTAATCTACAAATTTGGGAAAAAAAGACTTGTTTTCGGTTATGGTTTGGGATTAGTAACCTAGTAGTTATTGTGTTATGAGTTTTTGAAGAAAATTGGGTTTTAAGTGCCTTTTGGTAACACTTACGTTTTCAGTTTTTTGTTTATATTTACAAAAATTTTAAAAACTCAAATAAAAACTTGTTTGGTAAAAATTTTTATTTATAAATCAGTCGTCTCAGTTTATAAATTTGGCCAAAAAATGAAAACACAAAAAATGTGTTTCCGTTTTGAGTTTTCAGTTTTTTTTTTTTTACCACCCAACACTAGCCACCACCCGTCACCATTTTCCACCACCGTCTTCCGGTCCCACCACTACACCACCACCCAGCCTCACCTCCACACCTGCCGCCACCACACTCCACCACCCACCTGCCACCACCAGCCCACCACCGCCACCACCAACCCACCTACTCGCCACCACCACCACCCCTCGCACCACCACCACCACCCACCACTCACCTGCCATCCACCGCCACCACCGCCACTACCATCACCGCCCGCCACCTACTTGCCACTACCACTCACCATCTACCTGCCACCACCAGCCACCACCATCACCAGCCCACCAACCACCTACTCGCCACCACCACCTGTCACCCACCACCCGCCACCACCACCACCACTTCCCACCTACCACCACCACCACCACCACACCACATCACCCACCCGCCACCACTGCCGCCACCACCACCCACCTACACCACCACACCACCACCTGCACACCCACCACCATCCGCCATCCGCCATCCAATATGCCACCACCGCCCACCACCCTCCACCACACACCACCACCACCCACTCGCTCCACCCCGCCACCGTCACCCACACCACCATCGCGACCTACCCGCACCCACCTGCCGCACCTACCACCACCACCACCACACCACTACCCGCCACTGTCACCCACCACCCCACCACCACCATCTGGGCCCCCTACCCCGCCCTACCACCCACTCGCTACCACCCACCACCCACCTGCCACCACCCACCGCCACCCGCCATCCACCACCCACCTGCCAGCACCACCCGCCACCCGTCACCACCACCCACTCGCTACCACCCACCCCCCACCGTCACCCACACACAAACCACCACCACACGCCACCTACCCGCCACTACCACCCACCCGCCACCACCCGCTACCCACCACCCACCGTCACCACTTTCCATCACTTGTCATTTCTCACTCCTTTTTATATTTTAAAATTGTTTTAAACATTTTGTCAATTACCAAATGCGTTTGTAGTTTATGTTTTTTAAAAAATAAACAAAAATCAGTTTATAAAATTTTTGTAAATATAAACTGAAAACGTAAACGTTACCAAACACACAAGGGTTTCTCAAAAGTTAATCAAAAACTAGGGTTTGGGGTGTTCTTTTTATGGAAAAGAAGAAATTGGAATGGTTGTAAGATTTTAATTGAAATGAGGTTTGATTGAGAAATGTTTGAATTATTGGAAAAATACTAAGTATTATTTATCCTTTTGAAATAGTGGTTTCGTTGGAAATGATATGAACGGTTTTGGAAAAATTGTATATTTTCGGTTGAGATTCACGAGACTCGTGAGAAGTGTGAATGTTGTTTGGAAATCATGAGATTTTGTATAAATCATTGGGATTCCGATTTGGTTATGACTTTGGAATATTATTATTGTTGTTGTCTTTAATTAGAGATAATTATTTTTAGCAACTGGTGGAGGGTTGTATTGATTGTTGTAGAAACTGCATGTGGATTAGGGAATGGAAATGTTCACAAATCATACATCGTATTGTGCATATCATGGATTAGTAATTGGGGATTTCAATGTTTCGGAAAACGTATTGTTGTTTTGAGATGAAAGTATTGTATTATTGAAAGGATAAATAAAATGGTAAAACTGTAAGGGGGTGTTAAAGAAGAATTAAGTTAGACTATCTATCTAAGGCGTAAGACCTAAAATCCGCATGGTAGGTGCCGAGTCTTCCAGTTAGTACCGGTAAAAATGGCTTAGTGACTTGTATAGTTACTATTATGAACACTAGCCCTAGAGATTTATTCATTATATTTACCACTTGATTATTTTGAAAGAATATTGTTGATTTGGAAAGATGTTTTGGAAATCTCGCATTGCATTGTTTCAAAGAGAGAAAATACGTGTTTTATTATATCATTTCACATGCATCCATCTTATGACATTGTTAAGCTTCATACATATCATTGAGTTTATTTCTACTAAGCTTTATGCTCACCTTACAAGGGAAACCACTTTCAGGTGAACCGGTGTGCCTCCGCCAAGGTGATGACTTAGGAGGATCTTGGAGCTTGAGGCTCGTATGTATTGTTTTCTTTGGTTATTTGTTTGTAATTTAAGGCGCGGGTTTCTTTGTAACTGGGCAAGGCCTTGAAAATTTGTAGCCTTTAAGGCATTAACCTATGATAGTTTAATTTTATTCATTCTAATAAGAATTCATGTTGTAGGACTAAAAGAATGTTCTGAAGCACGTGTTGGAAATGATGTTGTATAATCAGATTGTTGTTGTGCTCCACATGTTAGTAATATTATACAGGAGTAGAATGTTTATTTATTTTGGGGCATTATAACTTGGTATTAGAGCGTACCAGGTTAGAATACTTTAGGTATGTGGGAAGTAGTTCTTACCTGAAATGGGTTTGTCTCGCTTGATAGAGATGTTGTATGCTCAGTATGCTAAATGATAACATGCTTATGTGGCTAAGTGGGCATGAAATTGGATCCTTAGGATGTGATTTGTGTATGTTAAACACTTGGAGGTTTTATTAGAACACTACAAGAAAAGGGAGTATAAAACACAGGAGTTTTTGCGACGGCGTGCTTCCCATCGCAAAAAATGGTTTTTTGCGACGATATTTTTAACCGTTGCAAATAAGCGCTTTAGCGACGGCGTTTTACCGTCGGTAATAAAACTACACAGATAAACGGAATTATTAGCGACGGCGTTTGTTTCCATCGCAAATAAAATTTTTGTTGAGACAGCATGAGTTGGCTGTCGCAAATAGCGGTCCATTTGCGACGGCAAAATGTCGGTCGCCAAAAAGCTTATTAAAACGGCGTCGGTTTAGCTATAATAATTTATCATTTGCGACGGTATAAAATGTACCGTCGCAAAAAGTAAAAAAAAATTGCCGCTCTTATCCCTTTCATCTTGGCGCTCGCATTTGGGTCGAAAGCCCTAAATGTTTGAAATCCCTAAATGTTCGAAATCCCCAAACGATGAACGGCGAACTTTTTCCCCCTCTGGACGAGCGACGAACGGCGACCAACGTAGCGGTGGTGTGGCGACGACGACAGCGAGGGCCGGACCGGCGACAACTTTCTCACTCAGCGTATCCTCTCTCTCTCTGTCTCTCTAATCATGTGAAGCAGCTTCTCACATTTTATGACAAGGAACTTCTATGAACAAAACTTTTGAAAACCTGGAGCATTGAGGTTCGTTGTAAGTGAACGCCACTTGGTCCACTCAGCAGAACACTTTCTGTATCCCAAACTGTCTGCCACAGACCCCTCAAGTAGAAGACGACTGTCCCAACTCGCTCTCTCTGTCTCTCTCTACGGAGTCCACGAGGGTCGTTCTTTGTTTGATCGGTAACACTGACTAACCCTTTCTCGATTCTTTTGATTTTTTACTTCACTATTACTATTGTCATAAACCCTAATCTTCTTTGTGATTTTGATTGGATTGTTTAATAGGGTCGATTTGATGGTTGAAAAAGCTTCAGAGGTCATGGATTCAAAGTCATCATCATCACAATCGGAGATTGGTTCATTGTTTAATAGGGTCGATTTGATGGTTGAAAAAGCTTCAGAGGTCATGGATTCAGAGTAATCATCATCACAATCGGAGATTGGGTCAGCAGAGGATGTGGTACAGGCATTGCTGGACTACTTGGTTGCTCCTATGTTGCCTTTGAAGTCCGCTGGCTGTGAAGTTCCTTCTCTTGAGCAACAACAATTGGTCGCCAAACAGGTCTCTCATTCATTTGCTTTTATTCAAATCAAACCCCATTGTTTTTTCCCTTAATTTCCCTTAGTTTTTGGCTCTTAAATTAAATTAATTTAGTGTTGGTCTGTAAAACAGTTGATCCCAAGAAAAAAAAAAAAAACCAAAAAAAAACTCAGGGTTCGATTAAAGCCTATTGTTAAATTTTAGGGAAAACTGCAGAAAATAATTAAATTTTTATAGGGTTGGTAGCGAATTAAACCCAAGTTTTTTTAATTTCATCAATCTAAACATTGTTACACTTTCCCCTTTATGTTTGGTCATTTTTTCAATCTTAAAGTTTATTTTTTCTTTACTCCAAAGGTAATTTTTGTTCAAAATTAGACATAAAATATCACAATAACTGTCAAAATTAGACAGAAAATATCACAATAACTGTCAAATAATATATTGACAAGGAACCTCACATTTTATAACATCTATTCTCTTCGCACTTTCTTGCCAATTTTGGATGCCATCTAAATCAGAGTATGTTAAACATTTTATAGTCCCCACTTGTTCATGAGAAAAAAAAATGGTAGAATCGATTGAGGATAAAACTAACAGTTTGGTCTGGGACATGGGAAACAAGGGGAGGGAAGAAGAATCACTCCTTTGTTATTCACGTATATGATTTAGATTGTTAATTGCATGAATGTATTTTTTATGCAGGAACATTTTTGACTTATTCCATCATTAGGTTATATATGTCCCATAAGTGGAAGTCTGGTTTATTTATTTTTTATGTCACTACAAATTGGAAAGATTAAAAAATATAAAAAATAAAAAGAAAAAAGGTGTTTATGTAGAGTTACAAATGCCCTATTTATCATTTTCTTTTACTATTTAGCATTTTGGAATTGTACCTATGAATCTGCGTATAGGTTAATTGTATCTTTTTAAAATCTATGTTCATAGGGTTTCCTAAATCTAAATTCTTGTTGGCTTGTTAGGTGTCTACATATCTTTAAGAATTTTGTCTGTGCATTTTGTATTTCTCATATAGTCTGTGCAAAGAAAATGAGTAACATGTAATAAATTTTTTTATCTATTTATTTAGGTTGGTGCAATTGTTCTATACACCTATGTTTATCAGATGCTTGAACCCCCTCCTGAAGGTACCTTCGACATTGAGGACAGAAATCTTCCCATCAAGTACACTGCTAAGGATAGCACTCTAGTGGAAACTCCTTTGCTTACGGAAGAGGTGGTACCAACAGATTCAGATGCTCCAAAGAAAGGAAAGGTGAGAATCAACTATATTTGCTTCAAGATGTTATGGCACTGTATTTTTTCTTCAGCTCCGCCGAAATCATGGTTGTTTATACACCCAAAAAAAAAGAAAAAGAAAAAAAAAAATGAAGAGCAAAATGCTTTACCCTTACTGTAATGGAAGTGATATTGGCAAGGAAAGAATTAGCTTGTAAGTATCAATATGTAGATAAGTATCATCCTGACCAATTTAGTAGCAAGACACAATGAATGATCACAATTTCATCCCCTCACTATTACAACTTATTAGGATTAAAATGATAGAATGCATTGAAATCAGGGGGTAGACATAGAAATGCAGCCCTCTGTCCATTTCCTGGATTTAGGAATTACATATTTGGGGGTGATCCTTCACGTGTATCCCATTGCCTGGTTGGGATTTTGGTTTACCAGTGTCAAACCATTGCTTTAGGATATGACAAAGTTTATGCTTCATTATCTGCTGGCAAGTTTTGATAGTTGACCTGAATGTGTACCTTTGCTGGTATGTAAGGGTACTCCTCTGAAATGTTTTTCTCTTCCTCGGGATCAAGAATGATCTAGTTGAATCAAAACTAGCTTAAAAAATGTTTAAAGAATTCGTTCGTACTGGAACTTCCTTATAGAATTATGTTTGTAATACTAGTTTGCTTTGTTCCAATAACGTTCTATTCTTTAATCTCTTGTGCATTGGAACGTTCTATTCTTTAAGAACTCTTTAGCACTCATATATGCAACATCAAATAGTTGGTCTCCATGGCAGCTTTGCATCTGCAATACTTGTATCATCCAAGAAGAAAGATTGCTAAAAATGAAGATTGGGTATGTGGGGACCAATAAATAACATAAATTATGGTCTAAGATAAGGAACATATTTACCAAAAATGATTAAAATATTATCGCCTTCATTCTTTTGAATTCATAGCTGGCATATTTACCCATTACATATATAGCTGTTAAAGGAAAAAAGCATTTGGGTTAGAACTGCTAAATGACAAGTGCAAATCTAATTAATATGCAATTGGAAGTGTGAACAAGAATATTGATATTGATACTTATAAATACCACATATATATATTATATATAAATTGAAGTTGACTACTTTCTAATATCATGTTCAACATAAGGGAGTCCTTCAATTACCATATGACATGAAATCGCCCATATTTTGCTCAGTTATGATGGATTACATTTCATGTTTTAATATCTTTTTACAGCGTTATTGGTCGAGATCAAAGAAATCAATGAACAGAAGTACAAGGAGGATGATGTGCTACTTGCTATTGCTGCTGCAAATAAACAACCGATTATTCCACCTATGGAATTTGAATATCCTGATTCAGACATCCATGAAGACCTTTACCAGCTCATCAAATATTCCTGTGGTGAAATTTGTACAAGTGAACAGCTGGATAAAGTTATGAAGATTTGGACAACCTTCCTGGAACCGATTATTGGGGTTCCTTGTCGGCCTGGGCAGAGGACACAGAAGATGTTGTAAAGGCTAAAAATCAAATTTCACAAAGTGGTGCAGCTAGTGTTGGAGAAAGTAATGGCAGTCCAGTTGGTGGTGCAACTGTCATTACTACTAAGGATTCAAATCCTTCCAAAAATGGAGATGAAAGTAATCCACCTGAGCAATTAAGTTCCTGTCAAGCTGGGTTGGTAACTGGTGGTAATGGGATGAAGGAAGATGGTCTTCAGGACTACTTCCAGGCAGTCTTTTGGTTTCATTTTTCTCACATTGATGGTTGGGATGCTGAGATGCACTTTTTATTGCTAGGGCGTGGTGCTACTCCTACGAGACATGGCAATGCTAATGTTGAGGGTGTGGCTGAAATGGGTCCAATTGATGAAATTTTACCTTCATTGGAGGTATGAATGAGTATAGTTTCTAGCAATAATTTCATGAAATTGGCATTCTTTGGTTATTGAGTAGGGTAACCCTAATCGGTCGAGCGCTGTTGGTTTTGGCTACTTGTATTTTACTTTGATGTCTTTCTTTCCTACCTATTTCAATGAAGTAGTTAATTACATCAAATTGGGCAAACAAATGCAGTTGGTATATATCAAAGAGTTACAGATAAAATAACTAAGGCTTAAATTTTCAGGAACTGGCATCGGATTATATTTAAGGATTTCCGAGGGTTGGTGCAGGTTAAGTTTCGCTATTTGTCATTTGGTATATATATATATATATATGTAATTTTAACACTGAAAAAAGAGGGAGATTGTGAAATCAAGTTTACAGTCTCTAGGCTGAATTTTTCTTATTAAAAAAAAAATATATTAGTGAATGACTCTCTGGCCTAAAGCCTAGAAAATATTTGAATTCCTAAACTTCCCTTCCCCATCACATCATGTTTACACACCAATTGAGTAGTTTCTAACTCTGCAACTAATTCTACACACACACACACACACACACACACACACACACATATATCTTTTGTGATCACTCATTAATCACATGATATTGCCTTGATCTTTCTAGTTTCAACTGAATAGGTATTAAGCCAGAAAGTTAGATATTTCTTTCACCGAAACACTGACTTTATAACTTAAGATTGTTGAAATGCTATTAATCCGCAAGTTTCCATCAAGTCCTGACAGTAGGACACTCTCTTGGCCTATTGATACAAGCTGGATTGCTTATGAATGACAATATTGTGATTGGGATATTGATGGTCTTGATCTTTAATATTGATTTATTGTTTATTAATGTAAGATCTTTGATCATCTTTGATGCTACAGGGTGGTTGTACAAGGCCAGTTTCATCTTCAAATGAGGTGATTGGGCACTTCAAAATTGAAAGAGAGGAGGGTGAATTATCTCCAAATGGAGATTTTGAGGATAATTTTGCAGCATATGGAGATGGTGAGGTGGAGGCTGCATGTAAATCCAAGGATAATTCCCCATTCTGAGATTTTTATTAAAACTGAGTTAAGTAACAGAAGTGATCATTGGTTACCTTTGTGAACTCTTGCTTTGTTTGAATCGTGAATTTATAAATGAAGAAAAAAGTAATTTATATTCATTTATATTGTGTTTATTTTTTTCATTTCTTTTATATTTTTAAATTTTATCGGAGGATAATTATGCTTGAGAAGAAGCCTTCACAAATCCAAGTTCTAATCGGGTAAAAACATTGATCCTCCCTTGTTCTCCATCCTTGATGCCAAAAACCATGGTGGATCATGAGCAAAGTAAAGGAATTCAAGGATTTGGGGCTAGGGTTTCGGACATGGAAGAGGGGAGAAGAAGAGAGGAAAAGAAATTGCAAGAAATGGCCCCAAAATCCCGTTTTTAGAGCTGCTGTCCCGCACAGGCCGCACGTGCGGCGCTATTCCCCGCACGTGCGGCTCTGCTTCCACCACAGATGTGAAAATTTCAAACCGATATAACTCTCTCATCGGGACTCCGTTCTAGGTCGTTCTTGTGTCCAAATCGAAGCCCCGAAAATAAGCTTTCCAATGGTTCTAACCTCACATTCAAATTCAAAGTGTGGAACAAGGAAAGGACAAATGAATGACGGCTGATCGTAGATTAACTATTCGAATTAAATTCGTTGGTCCAATCTTACTTTACCATCATACCACCACCTCAAACAATAACCCAAAATAAGGTAAGAACATTCCAAATACACTATTAAGAATGTCAAAAATGAGCCCATGCTTGAGCGGAGGGTAAAAAAAATTTCAAGCCGATACAATAAAGGTCGCCATAACTCAGCAGATAATTCTTTAATTCCGATAGATATAGTTGAATTAAAACACATTAAACCCTAATTAAATAAGGATGACTTTCTATACGCATTTGGGGGTCATTACATTTCGTGGAACAAATTTTATCTTAAGAAGATAATTCGTGTGTGATTAGGTGGCTAAGTGCTTATATGGAATACATTGTGTGTTTTAATACTAGTGTATGAGATTTTGTTGGGGACACCATTAGATGTGTGCTAAATTCGTTATGTTTGTTTTGATTAGGATGTCTAGGCGAGAAAGTAACGACTTTGCTCCTTCTACATAGGAAGAATTGAGGAAGCAATTTCTGAAGTTACACCAAGGTACTATACCTTTAACACAATTTAAGACGTGGTTTACCAATATATCGAGGTTCGCTCCAGAGTTAGTGGAAACCGAAGAGCTCTGTTGTATGGAGTTTGAGAGTAAGTTATGTGATGAAGTTCAAGAATGGATTGCTGGGTCTTGGCATAGGAAATATCGTGCGCTTGTGGATACGGCGGCTCAGGTGGAGGCCCTCATCCTAGTCAAGGGGTAGAGTGAGGAGGAAGCCACTTCAGCAACTCCTACAACTTGGGGTTGTAGTAGACCTAGTAAGAACCAACGAAGAAGGCAAGGTTGTTGTCTCAACCAATAGTTGCACCAACGAGATCATCTAGCCAACTGGGACTTGGGGCGATCGAGTGCTCATAGGGGGAGCTGTGACAACCCCGACTTGTGATTAGCTTATAATCTTTGATTAAGGAAGCCTAATAAGTAATTAAGATGAAATTCTACGTTAATTACATGTTATATGTTATTTGTATTTATATATGTCTGTCATAGAAATATTTGTTTGTGTTTTCGTTCTGTTCTGCAAATTGAAGGCCTTATCGGCCAGAGAATACAAAATTGACTCCATTTATGCGTTATCTGGAATTTTTAGAACATTATGGTAAATCTAATTAGAATTCGATTCAAAACCAAATAATTAAAATAAATAATGCTAATTAATTAGTCACTAATCAAACTTCATAATCAAGCCTATAAAAGGCAACTTGTTGACCTAAGGCCATTAATTTACACTTTCATTTCTCATACTTTGGACTCAAAAACGTGAGAGAGAGAGAGAGAGAGAGAGTGTGTTGAGCTTGGAAACCAAAGGAGAGGAAGGAGAGTTATAGAGAATTCAAGGTTTCGGACTTAGAGACTTAAACAATTAGTCAACTAGAGCTCAATTGAGAAACTAAGGTAAGAACTCAACCCTTTAGTTATATAATTGAGTTGGTTAATGCTAGGATTCAAGTGGATTAAGAGTTGAATCACAAGAATTAAGCTAAGATTGAAGAATCAAAACTCAAGCCATGCATGCATGCATATTTCATGGCATTTTAAAGTTGTTTTCCAAAGAATTTTCTCTTGCATGTCCTCATTTTGGTTTTGTTCTAAGAATGTAACATGTTTTTGAGTTAAACACCTCATCTGATCATGTTTTGAAAGCTTTGAAGCCAAGAAAATTCATACATGTTGTCTTCATATTATGTTCTTTAAGTTACAAGTTTTGTTTTGTATAATTGGCAAAACTTTTGGGCTTGATTTTGCGGAATGTTTTGTAATTCATCATATACTATTAGTTTCTCAATGTTTTACCAAATTTTGGCCCAAAAAGATGTTTTGAAGCTTTGAAATTGAGTTTTGGACTTAAATCAGCAATCTGGAAATTCCAAAATTTGCATCCTCCACTCGAGCGGTGGAGTTTGTGCTCTAGCAGAGAATACGACCTCCCAGTACTTTTGCAAAGTTTGGGGGTTGGCTCGAGCGGCAGAACCTGCGCTCAAGCGACCACCCTTATTTTTGACCTCCGCTCGAGCGACCGAAGTTACGTTCAAGCGTAAAATGAGAGCTCTCAGAAGTTTTACAGACTTTTGCAGACCGCTCCAGCGTAGAAAGTTATGTTCAAGCAGAGACCATATTTACTCAGTCTTTGGCTCGAGCATTCGTCGAGCGAAAAAATCATGCAACTAGTACTTTTGCAGACTTTGTAGACTGCTCGAGCAACCGAAGTTGCACTCGAGGGGACTACCCTATTTTTGAAAATTTGACCAAGTGTTTCAAGTTACATTTTGGCATCCTCACTGCATTCTAGGAATTTCTAAGCCTTAATTAAGACACAATAATGAAGATAAGGATTAGAAACACACCAAGATAGAAAAGAAATGAGTTAAGTGTTTTATGAGCATGTGTTTTCATGTGTATCCGTTATGTGTTTGTGTAGCTCGCGCGCCATAGATTGTTGATTCGACTATTTGACTCTTCTGCTATTGGAGCTATCTGTGAGTAATAACTCTGTAAAGTTATTTTGATTATAATTATTTTTTGACTGAAATGATATGATATGTTTTCTAAAATTCTATTTTATGAATCATGAATGAATGTCCATTTTTCTAAAATGCATTTGTGTCTTCCTTAGTTCATGTGGCTCTCGCTCGGGGGTAACAATACTGTGGCCAATATGCACGTGGCCCTCGCCCTAGGGTAACAATACCATGGCTTATGTTCATGTGGCCCTTGCCTAGGGATAACAATACCGCGGCCTATGTTCACGTGGCCCTCTCCTAGGGGTAACAATACCATAGCTATTTGTGCACAAAGATATTAACCTTTAAGGTCGTCGGTACCGACTATGCATGTGAGTCTTATGACCAATCTGATCTAATAGCTAATGGATGTTCCACATATAACTGCTTATGAAATATGTATAAGTATGTGAATCTAAATCTATTTTTGATATGAACTCTAATTTATGAATCTGTTTTTGACATCATTTATAACTCCCTTACTCTGTTGTTATTCACTAGGCTCCAGCTCATTCTATTATTTATGTATGTAGGTGATCATGAGCGGGACCAGGCTCAATGAGGTTGCCTGGAGTTCTTTTCTGTCAGCTAACTTATGTGCCTCCAGAGGAGGTTCTCGTTTGAGATGTGATCAAGTTTTTGTGAATCAAGTTTAAGACTTGCATTTTCTTATGTTTCGTCTGAATTAGTTTTTGTAAGACCTGTATTTGTGGGTTTTGGTGACATAAGACTAATGTAATTATGACGTCACGTATTGTATATAAATATAAGTTTTAAATTCCTATCCCGTGTATGTCTGCACAGCTCAATGGACTATGTATGTTTTATATATTTGCTTCTGCAGCCCTTTATTAGGTGTTAATCTGTTCAGATGCCTTTGGTAATCCTAGGATTACTGGCCGGTTACGGCACTAAATCTATCAGAGTAGGTTTGGGTCGTGACAGGAGCAGTCATTAGGATCCTTACTAGTTTAGACTTCGTACCAGTCACAAATTCGGGGACCACCTATTTGCTATGCATGTAATCAACTGGGTCATACTAAGCGTTTTTGTATGCAACTAGGGACTTCTTTGGGTATTCCGCAATCTAGTCGGGTTCAGCCTTATCCGTCTGGGTAGGGGCGATACCAATACCAAAACTAAGTAGGCCAGACTTCGAGAGCCTTTGGAGGGTTAAACTTTTATCCTCAAACTGAGGAGATGCGTGTTTGTTTCAAGTGTGGCCAGCTGGGTCACTTCAGTAGCTCTTGTCCTTGGCATCATAGTTCTTGGAGGGTTCCGGGGGTTGAGAATAACCCATCATAGCTCTTGTCCTTGTCTGCTTAGGAATGTGATAGCGATGGTGGAGGATGGATAGCTGTTTTTGGTAATTAGTTTTGGTTATCTTGTTTTGTAACTGGAGGGCAAATGGTTGTAATTATTATGTAGTCGGTTTGTTTTGTAATCGGTATGATGTGGACCGTTGGAGGGCAAATGATTTTTGTTTATGTATATATGGTGGGTTGTTTACTTTATGAGTTGGATACGTTGTGATTTTGAGTTTTCCTTAATGTGATGAGTCGTTGTGGAATTTAGAAATTTTCATATTGACGTGTATGAACTATTGCGTTTTGAATTAGGAATGTGATGGCCGGAGAGCCTTATTTTGACTTAGGGATTGTTTACTGTGCTAAATAATTTGTGTTTGGTTGAAATTGATTTAGAATGGGTGGACAATAGAGTTGGTTGTGGAAGATGGGTATTTTGAGGGTCATTATGATTAGTTAGAATATTGCGGGGGTGGAGTTATACTAGTCAGTATGTTCGGTTTGGTTGATATTGGCTTATGTTATAAGTTTTAATTTATTGCAGTGGAGGCTTGTTGGAAGAGCAAGAGGGTTGTGCCTTGTAGTGACAGGAGTGGTGTTGTGATTGTTGTCGGATGCATGTAGATTGGTGTGGGTAGTGAGCCTATC